TCGCAGTCTCTCCCAAAAGTTCACCAGCCCTAAGAATCTTTAACTCCCGGGGAGTTTGGTCCTAATCTCCTCTAAACCGTGGCCTGTAGCACTGGCTGGCATTTATTCACATACTTAGAAACATTACACAGAGCAAGCCAAGGGTTCCGACAGCTGTTGAAACTACACGAGAGGCGTTTCAGGCCTGATACAATTGAGAGAACAACAATAGAGGAGGAACCGATAGGCACCAATGAACAAGTTCACCCATCCCTGCAGCATCAAGGGCTGCTGAAGGACAAGAGAGTCCAAACTCAGGCTCTGGTGTATAGCTGAAGCACGCAGGATCTGAGGCAGATATCGGAAAGGGTACAAAATCACTGAGATGGCACACAGAATACCTGCTCCGTGGGCTGGAAACGCACTCTGTGGAAGGGGAAAGAAGGCACTCAGTTTCTTTCAAGTTGGGGAACTTCCCTGCAGGCAAGGGCCCACAGGTCACATTACAGGCCCAGACTGCTCTTCAGAGTCCTTCTTCATCTTCGCGTACGTGGCAGGGCAGAACTGAGAATACAGCTGAGCCAGCAAAGCCTGGGATGTGATGTCTAGCCTTGTCCCGTGGCTCAGTTTGTTCCATAAGTGCACCGCGTACGTGTTCTTAAGAAGCTTGTGAAGCTCCGAGGAGCTGATTGTATCAAATAACTTCTTCCAGTCCTCCCAGCAAATAGGATAAAAGGCTTCTGGGGAAAGCGCATGCACCCCTTTGCAGGTCGTGTTGTTCTGGATAGTACTGATGGAGCACCACTTCTTGAAGGCATGCGTTAGGAGATGAGGGCCCTGGTGAGCCCAGATCCAGCCATTGTAGTTCTCCACAAATTCCTGCATGCAAAGCTTCATGAACTCATGCTTGGGTGTGAAGGACAGAAAGGCCCCATTCAGTACATCCTGAGACTGCATACCGAGGGCATTGGTGAGGTTGTTCAAGTTCTTAAGCACAATGAAATCGGTGTCCAGGTAGATGCCA